GTATTTTTACAGTCTTTATTTTACAGTTAAAATAAATGTTTTTCAAATAAAGTCTAATGTTACAACTAATTGGGGATCCCTTGAAGTGGATGACTGGAGCTTCAAAGCAAAGTGGATGAACACATTTGCACATTTTTAGCTCTATCCATTTATCTGCTGCTCATCTCCCTCATGACTTGGTTGTGGAGCTAACAGAAATCCCTCGTTTCAGTGAGCCCCTCCAGCTCCTCCTGGGATACCCCAAGACGTTTCCATGCCAGGAAGTATACATCATACTCTAACAAGTTCTGGGTCTGACCCGGGGTCTCCTCCAGGGAGAGGAGCCCAGAATCATAAACGGTTGAGTAGAATGCAGCTGCACYTCATCCTGTGAGTCGTTTCAAGAACAAGTCAAAGCTGCACTTTGATTTGTCTCTTCAGTTTTCAGAATGTTTTGTGTAAATGATGACTCAGCTTTTATTGCAACAAGAAAAACAAACTGAAACGTTCTCTAAAACTCATTTATTGTAGTTTGTGTTTAGTTTATCAGGCTTCAGCAGGCTTTTATGTGACACAGCTTATAAATCAGTGATGGTCAGCTGTAGAATATCTCCTACCTGCCATTGGGGAGTGATCCCTGCTCTCGGCTCCACAYCACAGCAGGGGGGGGTTCTCCTTTAGCTTGGCAGTAGAACTGAGTGGACTCACCTACTCTTACTGACACATTTTCTGGCTTCAGCACCAACACAGGTTTGGCTGAGTGAAAGAAGAAAAACTCAGTGAATATCTGGACAATGAGTCTCTTGTTTTGTTGTGTGTGTCTGTGTGTGTGTGTGTGTGTGTGGGGGGGGGGGTAAACTGTCTCACCTAGCACTGAGAGGCGAGCAGCTCTGCTCTCTCTCTCGCCCACACTGTTTCGAGCCACACAGATATAAGAACCAGTGTGGTTCTTCTCTGCAGGAGCAATGATCAGCTTCCCACTCAGCTCCTGCAACACAACCGAGACCACAGTCAGGATCACACTCAACAAATGTTCATCGGTCCAAATGTTACAYGCAATGTGGAACTGAACTGTTTTTATTTCTTGATTTTTTTTTTTATTTTGTAATTGATCAGCTGAATGTTAGATGCAGTTTTGTATTTTATACTTTCTGATCATTGCAGCGTTAAAGGGATCCACAATTAGTTGTAACATTAGACTTTATTTGATAAACACATAATTTAACTGTAAAATAAAGACTGTAAAATACTGTAG